GATCCCTCCAACCTCCATTGGAACAGGGGACGAAGCTTGCGTGATTCGAGGGCTAGCATCTCCTCCAGCGAAACGATTTAACCGATTGTAGACCGTTGATCGGTGAGCAGTGCCAGCATTGAATAGGTTGCTGCTAATTTGAGCTGCTACACCCGCGTATTTCCCTTGGCGTGCTTAGTATAAGGGGATGGTACGAATGTGTTCATGTGTTGATTACATGAGGAATGTCCTACAAGTTTATCACTCTTGCTACCGTGTTCACATTGCTGATACAAATTGCTGACGATTCAAATTTTTTGTTGCAGGACTTTCCTTCCAACCTAATAGAATTGAACGCTCTGACTATGGCAACCCGGTTAGCCCACAACATCTCAGCAATATACCAACGTACAAGAATCCAAAGCGTCATCCTTCTCTCGGATTCCAAAATCGCTCTGAAATGGCTAGCCTCTTATCCGAATGAGAGCAAAGTTGGAATTCTGGTAAAGAATCGCGTGGAAGAAATAATTCAAACATTCCAGTACCAGTACATTTCGGATACGTCAAAACCACCGACAACTCTGCAGACTGTGCCACCCGCGGAATAGATAAGATTAGCTTCTTCGACGGAATGTGGTGGAATGGTCCAGACTTCATCGGGAAACCATCGGAGAAATGGCCAGAAACTTGCCGTCCACTCCTCCTCCCTACCAACGGCGATGAACAGGCCAACTAGATGCTTCCAACAACAAGCACGCCACAGAGCATTCCAAAAGAAATACTCGATTGGAAGAGGCACAACGCGATAAGTTCTATCCAAACAACCACGACCTACGTTCTGCGACTCATCAAGAGCCTCATCTCGAAGATGCCCTCGGAACTACAATCTTGCATCACAAACACAATTCAAGAACTTCTCCAAATGTCGAAGGAGCAGTACGTCACAGCAGTTGGAAGAAGACTGTCGTTACAGGCGACTATCAGAAATCATCAGATGGTACATCCCCAGGGGTCGAAACAAAATTCATTGAAACAGTTAAAACCACGGAAAGACAAGTATGGTATACTGACCAGTGAGATGCCGTGGACTAGTGGAGCTCGCCGATCTCCCCTTCGAAGCACGTCAACCTATTTTCACTGCAGCGGAAACTAAGTTGGCAGCGATCACTGTACAGGATGCCCATTCCCCTTTTCGCTGCACAACTGCTCATACAATGGCCAACGTAAAAACTGTTACTGGATACCGAAACTCCGGCAACTAGTTCACGTGTAATAAGAAATTGCACTCCTTTTAAAAAGATGAATGACCACTCATACAGATCCCAGAAATGGGTGATCTTCTCAGTCGACGCGTTCGCAGAACGCACCCATTTGAACATGTTGGAATCGACTACTTTGGCCCATTGTCCGCCAAGGAAAATGATGAAGTGGCACAAGTATATGGAATAATTATTATGTGCATGACAACTCGACTACTTCTTCTAGAACTTGTACCTAATAAGACAACTATCAATCGCCTCAATGCACTACGTCGATTTTTCGCAAGAAGAGGAGTCCTTACCACAATAACATCGGATAACGCACCTAACTTTCACATAGCAGAGCAGATTCTTTCTAATGCCATACGTTCTATCCCAGAAGAAACTTCGTTTGCCAACTCACTAACACCAAAAGGAATCGAACGTAGAGCCATAACACACTTCGCCCCATGGCAAGGAGCATTTTACGAGCGATTGATAAAGTCTGTCAAGTACTCACTCTACAAAGTGCTCTCGTACCTAGAAGAAAATAGGGAGGAAATCGCGATCTTGAGACCAATTGATTTCACACAACGTGATATGGTCATCACATACCCGTTCGAAAATTCTACAACAAACGAAAATGACAAGGATTATTTTCCACCCAGCGAACCAGCACAACTAAAAACTCGTCAACAAGCCGAAGAAGCCTTAAAAGCAAGCCATCAAGTAACGGGGGAATTTTGTACAATATGGAAGAATCAGTACGTCACCAGCCTCCGAGAGATACACAAGCTCCTTATTAACAACAAAAGTGGAACCCGAAGAATACCAGCCAGAAATACTGTGGTGCTCATTTACGNCTCAACAACTCCACGAAACACTTGGAAGCTGGGACGTATACACGATCTTTTTCCATCAGAGAATGGAATCATCCGAGACGCACATGTTAAGTTACTAAACGGAAGAGTCATCCGAAGACCTGTAACCTTTCTCATTCCGCTCGAGCTACAAGGTGGTACAGATACAGAGGGATCACCAATCGTCGACAACAGCTGGAGACGGGAGAACTCACAAGTGAGGCGCAGTTGTCGTTACAACCTCAGGCCACGACGAACAAATCACGATCAGAGTAAAATTCAACCAGAGAACTCGCCAGACGACGCAGTGGAACAGGAGTACATCATCAACCTGCGGGCGGCTCAATTCACAACGAAACGTAATAATGAATCGGAGCATTTTTCAGCGGTCTACGTCAGCAACACAGCCCGCCGCGGAGTACAGAGATTCCTCTATCACCAACCCACGTCGAGCTAAGTTGATGTTTACGAACTAGAAAAATGAACCACCGAAGCAATGATAAAAGTGATCCAATCGCTATCGTTTGTGTTGGCTATAAAAGGCCCATGCACTCAAAATAAACTACTTCTTCCTACTCCCTTCCGACGTCCAGCGGCTACACAGGAATCACCATATACTGTATTCACAGTGAGAGCGAAGGTAATATCGTGGCAAGTGGAGCAGGCGCAATGTCTCACACCACGGATGGTCCGGAGATCGAACTCGATCCATTTTCACCTGAAAACCAGGCCTTCTATCTCTTCGAGGTGAGCTAATTGGTACCGCACTGAGTCTCTGCTCTATGATTTCCTATCCAAGGGTAAGCATTGGCCAGCTAGCGCTAGCCATTAATTAGGCGATATACTCAAAACTTCGCTCTGAGTGGAAGTCTAAGTGTGGGGAGGGGGAGGAACATTCCAAAGATGAAATCCGACTTTATCCTTCTCGTCCTTTATATTCACAATGGGATATTTAGTGACATGCACCCTATGCAATATTGAACCTCAAAAGGCTTGAAGAAAGTACACAGGTCGGTGTGATTATTACTCTCTGCAAACACCCTACACCTTTATGTCTCGCCTTTGCGTTGATGGAGACCTAGATCAAATGACCTTCGAAAGCGGTTGTGGTCCGAAATTAGAAACATTATAGGCACGGTTCACGATAGAAATGGTTTCGGAGATTTGCACATGGTATGAATTCGGAACCCCCTATGATACCACATGTGCCGGAATGAAGTCGAAAAACGTTCTGGTAGGGCACAATAGGGGGCCGGAGAGTGAAGCACGGTCAGCCTCCGCCCCTCGCTAGGCTGACTACGGAATCTAATTGCCGTTCACCACAGTGAAAAACTAAAAAAAGCTAATCGACCGCCTCGTAGTGGTAATAGTACTCGGCTGTACTCCTCCTAGTCGACTAATATTCTGCTCTATTCGTTCTAATTAATTATTCTCAGCCGTCATCAAAAGGAACTTGCACAATAACCTAGCTTAATATCAGCAGCAGAATGAATAATATTAACGAAGAAGCCAAAACCAGCCGTTTGAGCGGGTTGTGTGCAATTGCAGACACTACGTCGCATTCATCTACTCGCCTGAAAATTCCCTTAACCGTCGTTTTTTCGCCGTATAACTCGTCTAACCCCCTTTCTCTTCTTTTTTAAGCTTTGTATTTCTTCTTATTCATCGTTTTTCGCGCTTTCTGCTCTTCCGTTGTACTACTGTAGGCCGAACCTAACATTTTTCGTCAAAACCGGATACCACAAATTATTGAACTGTGCCTTCAATGCTGCTGGTGGTTGGGAGCATTGACACCTTTCAAAGACCATAAAGCCGTCTAATACACCCTGCATTTATGAGAGCAGCCGAAAGTTATGGAGAACCTACTCATTCTATGGGCTTGAAAGTCGCTAGTTAGTCATTTCTTACTGCTACTGGAAAAATCTTCAAATGCAACGCCTCCTACGTAGTAGCTCATAATCTCAACTCTTCAGTTACTCTCTACGTATGAAAAGGCTATTAAAATAACAGAAAGGTCAAAAAAGGCGTTAAACCAACTTCTGAGAATCTTCCAGCTCTCAAGGAACATGTTGTGCAGAAAGCGAAAACGCGGCTCAAAAAAACGAACTATGGTCACTTGCAAAAGAAGCGCCACACTTACCGCTGCTCCGAGCCACCGCTAAGGAAGCGCGTAAATGAATGTCTTTCGTAATCGTCTATTTCGGGTAGTCACTTGGAATGGCCTTCTTAACAATGATCAAAAAACTGTTCTAGATCATCATTTGGAGAACAGCCTCATTTGAAGTGGCTACTTCTCGGGATCCCTCCCTGGTATAAGGAAACAACAAGTGATGGAAAACGAATCTCTTCCAATGTGTTTAGTGATAAACCAAAACTGGTAATCTTCAAGGAATCCTTGGACTTTTCCAAGTACTCGAAATATTGTGGAAAGCTGCAAACAAGATAATTTAAAACGCGTACGAAGACGAACCCTGCAGTGATTACTAAAAGCGCTAAAAAACTGAGAAAAACAAAAGGAGACGATCATGGAAAAATTCTTAAAATCCCACTTTTCCTGCTGCCCCTTCGGTAGAATGATTTCGAACTGTTTTCCGTGCACCTTGCCTTTTTCGGCTCCAGGAATGTATCTTGCAGCGGTCTTAGCTAATGTTTCGGCGATTTCTTGAGTACTAGCTTCCTCATCGACCACGACCGTCATCACATAGCCGCTCCCAAATCTGCATAAACACCCACACAACAGAGGTTCAATTAACAGATCAGAAGTGAGTCTTTACGCTGACCTTTTCTTCAAAAACTGCTGTGTCCCACAGCAGTGCACTTGACCATGGACCATGATTGCAATGCGATCTCCTAGCACTTCTGCTTCATCCATAAAATGAGTAGTGAGCAGAACTGTTCTGAACGTCATTCAATGCTTACAGGTCTCCTCCGGAGCTCGCAGTTTTACGGAAAACTAACCGATCCACTTTAATCGTTTCCAGAAGCGCCTCTACATCTCTTCGAGCACCTGGATCCATACCAGCTGTAGGTTCATCCAGCAACACCACGGAACTATGTCCGATCACCGCCATTGACACGGAGAGCTTACGCTTCTGACCGCCGGAGAGATTCATTGCGAGCTGAAACCTTACTCGTTAGAGAATGGACAGTCGAAGAACGATAACACTAACAGCTTCTGGATGAAAGTGAACGATAATGCACCTCATTGGATTTTTCATCCAAATTAAGTTGGTCAAGTAGTTGTTGCCCTTCCTCCTTATAATCACCGCTGGCTCCTTTAATCCCATGTATAAGCCAAAGGTGCTCATCGACTGTTAATTTGTTGAAAAGTGCATTCGCTTGTGGGCATAGGCCGATTTGTTTGCGGGACTGTGATCGATACTGCTGTATGTCCAATCCACAGATGAAGACATTTCCTGAACAACCGGACAGGAGCTCTTCTGAAAGTGTTGCCGTCGAAGAGACAATCTTTTCATAATGCGAAAGTGTTCCCGAGAATGCACTAATTTCGGAAGAGGACCGAAAAGGCATAGTGCTCTGCTCTGGTCTTTCTTTATAATAAGGTACCTGCTGTAGGAGCTGTGATTCCACATATTATTGAAAATGTGGTACTTTTACCAGCGCCATTTTGCCCAAGAAGTACAGTAACCTTAACGATATTGTGAAGAAAGGTAAATTTGATCACTAAGTCCTCTAGATCACCTCATCCAACGTCACTAAGCAACTTAGATCAAGGTCAAAGAAACTATCAGCTGTACCACTGCAAATTTCGAGGAAGTACTCTAACACGAATTTTTACTCTTCTTAAACTTCAAAAAAAAATGCCTACCTGCCCAACTTACGCTTCCAATGACATACCGTCAACAGCGCGCTCTCCTGTTGAAGACCAGATCTGAACAGGCGCTCATAAGTGGTGCAATCATGAGAAATCTGGAAGTTTCCTTAGAAATATGCAGTTTTGTTAATACTTGCCCACCCTTCATTTTACCAAAAACTTCACCTAAAGACACAGTTCACAAAAGGCTCTAAGACTTCGGGATGGGACTGTGACCCCCAAGGACGGCACAAAAGACGCTGTAGAGTCGAAAAATAGGGCGTAATAAACATTCGTCGTAGTCACGTTCTCGGCCTAACCGTAATTTTACAATCAGGTCATGGCAAAAAAAATCGCGGATGTGATAATTGCGGATCTTGCCCATTTGCTTAACATGCTCCGGTGTAGTTGCTCGATGACTCCCAATTCTTTTCTTTTCGTTCTAGTGTTGCTTGTTGAATTGCTTCTATGGCCGCTTTTAAGATCGTTGTTTAACGAGGACTCGCGACCGCGACCAGGTTGATTTTAAGGGTTCCACCTCCAGAAAATTAGGCTGTATGTAGTGAAGAAGTAGAACTGTCCGGTTTATCGGATAAACCACGGATACAAAAGTATCAATCTTACTTGAGGAAATAGTTAATTATAGGGCTTAGCCGCGGGCGAAGCCGCTCTGATAAACGGAAAAAACGTAATATGTAATTATACTGACTATTCCTTGTCCTTGCTATATGTAAACCACAAGTTTGGTGTGTCTGATTGTCCGTCACAAAATTCGGTATCATCTGAAGAAGCGCCTGGAGAGATCGGGTCAATTTCTGGTAGGAGGAGAATGAGACAAGATTAACAGAGCACATATGAGCCCTGCAGATCCCGCCCACGGAGGCGGGGCAAGTGCCGGAATGGGCGGCGCCATGAACCAAACACCTTAATTTAGCTTCGAAAACGTCCAGGCACCGGGAAAAAGTGGTCAAAGGTGAGGATCGGGTCAAAAAACCAGACGGAGGAGACCCACCTGCTATGGGCGCAGCTTTCCCAAATGAGCGGTACTTTTCAGGTGTATTGTTAACTCGATTCAGCTAAGGCGATGGGGTCAGAAAAAAATAGGAGTGAACAAGACCTAATACGTGCTATGAGTGCGTGACCACAGCATAGCCTCGCAAGTTCGGACGTTTGTTGATGATTGCCTGTAACTTACGCGCCGCTTGCGTATCAGCTCCAGAGTCTTCAAAAGAGTCGTCTCTTGGCTGCTTGCAGACTCTCTGCCTTCCTACACTATCGTAAAGATGTTCGAGAAACCGTTTGTATTCTTCATCGATGCTGTCAATAACGGAATCTTCCCATTCACTTGCAAGGGAAGCGAAGCGGTCCTAGTTGATCGGCATCTTGGGGCTTCGTTTCCTAAACTTCATAGCTCCCTCTCCACGCACTGAGAAGCAGAATCTAGCGCAGAGGAGATGATGGTCCGATCCCGCGTAAAACTTCGGAACAACAGCGACATCAGTCAGGCAAAACCTCCGATTATAGATGATGTGGTATTTCGTCATGAAACTGTCCGCCAGGTGACTCTCCAGATCCATGTTAAACGCTCCCAACTCCTTTTCTTCAAAGCTCGATGTTGGTGCGTAGGCAACGAAGATGGTTAGAGCTCGGATTGAGTCGAGCGGAATCTTCTTATTCACAAACGTCCGATTCGGGTTTTTAACTTTCGTACGAATCCATGTTCATGGCCAATTGCGTATTGACACCTACGCCACCGACGTCCCTGCTGTCGTATGGTCCTGCCCACCGCTGCCGTATTGGGGGCCACTTCAGATTAAGGGGCATGAGACCCATTTCTACTACTGTTTTTGGCGAGTGGATACCCAACGTGTAGCTTGCCAGGCTCTGACTTGGGGGCTGGGTTGACTCCAAAGGCTTCCCACGCTATCCCGAAGTACGGACGAAGGGCTCTGTTTTGGAGGCGGCCCCAAATCGCTTCCCAGATACTTCAGTCACTCGAATGCAAGCTTTCGGCAGAGTCGATGGACGGGATACCAACTGCACCCACAGACTCTCCACACACGTATGCGTGGATACGCCTGAGAGACCCAAAAGGTATGTTGACCAGCACAGCCGACTTAGGAAGTCCATCCCTCAAACCCACCTGGGTCTTTGAGCAAGTACTGGCAACTTTCGGTCGGCGATTAATTCCCTAGCCGCCATCTGGGGACGCCCTACGTCGCCTCGTCGCTAACCGACTAGGACCATTCAGTGAGAGGGAACCCTCAGTGAAGAAGGTCCGCAGCGATTCAACCGATTCGTACGGAAGCTCGACAATCCGAATCGGACGTTTGCGATCAAGAAGATGTGGCTCAACTCCATTTCTGAGAATCTTCCTCCAATCTACGCACCATCATCAAGCTGCGAAGAGGAATTGGAGGCCTTCTATATGAATCTGGAGGGGTTCTACGGAAAAGACCACACTTTTTTCTAGGTCATCGTCGGTGAAAACGCCAAAATCGGCCCCCAGAAGAATGGCTTAATAGCTCCACATCGGGACTCACGGATTGGAATGGAATGAGCAGGGTAAAAGGTTGTCCGAGTTCATCATGTCGACGCACACCATCCATGGTAACTAGCAGTTCCAAGAGCTCTCTCATTTGCGATTGACATGGGAGTCACCTGGTGGGCAGTTCCATGATAAATAGACCACATAATCTTCAATCGGAGGTTTTGCCTGACTGATGTCGCTGTTGTTCCGAAGTTCAATGTGGGATCGGACCATCGTCTCCTCCGCGCTAGATTCTGTTTCTCGGTCCGTGGAGAGAGAGCTATGAAGTTTAAGAAACGAAGCCCCAAGACCTCTATCAACTTGGACCGCTTCGCTTCCCTTGCAAATAAATGGGAAGATTCCGTTATCCACAACATCGATGAAGAATGCAACCGGCTCGTCGAACATCCTCACGACAGCGCTAGTAAAGCAGAGATTCTACAAGAAACCAAGAGGCGACCCTCTTCGAAGACTCTCGAGCTGATGCGCCAGCGTGGAATCGCGCGAGCCACAGGCAATCATCAACAAACGTCCAAAATTGCGAAGCTATGCAGAGAAGCGATAAAGGAAGATCTGAAAGAGAGAAGAGCAGCGGTCATGGATGAAGCCGCCGAGGCCGGAAAGCGCATTCGCAAAGCCCGATGGAGCTTTGCCAATTACATGACCACGATGACTTCCCCTAGAGTCGTTCTGACGGAACAATTACTGCATCCCGAAGGGCAACGGAGAAGGTCGTCTACGACTTCTACTCAAATCTCTTCGACAACCACGTTTACCTGCCTACCCACCATCTTAGGCGAGACGAATATATCGCTCCTTCGGTCCCCCCATCCGAAATTCGATATGCCATTACGTCGATGAAGAATGGTACGGCGTCCGCTCCCGATAAGATCAGAATAGAACATCTGATAAGTCATTCAACAATATCGCCAGAACCCTAGCAAGACTGTGCCACTGCGCAAGAAGAGAGATCCTAACGATATCGCCCAATCTGTTTGCTGTTTGTAATATACAAGCATTCCACGTGTAATATACACGTGTCATATTGAACAGGATTTGCAGAATATTAGATGAAGGACAGCCATGCGAGCGAGCAGGGTTCAGTACAATCGATCATATGCACACTCTTACAAGGCTCACGATTAGTGAAATAGTGGAATTAGTGAAATGAGAGTACAAAATGCCGTTATGTCTTTCGACCATCGATTGAAGAAAGCTTCGAAACAGTCGAGACGGAAGCGGTAACCGAAGCCCTGAGCGACAAGGGTATTATTAGGGGATACCATTTCGCCCAAATTTTCAGTGTCACTCTCGAAAACGTCATGGAATGGGGAACCCTGGGAGCGACTGTCGATCTCCGCTTCTTACATCATATCCGTTCTGCAGACAACATCATGCTCATAACACCGAACATCGAGCAAGGGGAACGAGTTCAACAATGCTCGTGGAAAGAACGGCTTGAGATTGAACGAAGACGTTCACGAAGAATGATTGGTACCTGATCCCCCTTTACGCCAGCTAAGCGAAACGAATACCTCTAAATGCTCTAGCTATGTGTAACTTGGCCGGGAAGTCAACATGATGTGTGATCCAGTCCCGGAGCTGAGCAGAAGGAAACGCGTCGCGAGGGAACATCCAAGAACATCGAGGGAGTAGTAAAGAAGACAAAGGACATCCGGCTCCGCCCCCACCTTTTCGACACTGCTGTCCTTCCTGATTTGACGTTCGTCTAACCAGGGAGGGGTAGTCTACTTATCTTGGAACTTTGAATTCAGACCCAGATAAATAGATAGAATTTCGAATGCTGTTTACGAAAATGCAAATTAAAACTGCAAAATGTTTCTCCTTAAAAAGTTATGGGGGCCCGAATTTTGCTCGACAGTAGTATCAATTGGAAATGCGAACTCGTCGCTTCCATATCAAACGCCCACGTAACCTAGTGGTAGTGGTCTCGCTTCGTGGGCGTAAAATGAGGGGTCCCTCCCCGCCATTTTCCGCACTTTTGCAAAGTGTTTTTTCATTTTATCAAAGGGTTTCTAAACGTTTTCTGACATTTCTTTAGACAATTGATACTATTGTCTAGCCCCCATAACTTTTTAAGGAGAATCATTTTGCAGTTTTAATTT